CAATTCTATAACTAAACAATATCAAGAAAGTTAGAAACAATTCTATAACTAAACAATATCAAGAAAGTTAGAAACAATTCTATAACTAAACAATATCAAGAAAGTTAGAAACAATTCTATAACTAAACAATATCAAGAAAGTTAGAAACAATTCTATAACTAAACAATATCAAGAAAGTTAGAAACAATTCTATAACTAAACAATATCAAGCCATCAGTGATATCAAAGTAAAGACCAATTTATTAGCTAAATAATGTAAAGAAATGAATATCAAAAGTAGTATCTAGTTTACCAAGTAAAGCAATGAATGATATTAAAAGTAGTGTCCAGTTTACTAAGTAAATAAAGAAATATCTGATATCAAAGTAGTGTCCAGTTTATTAACTAAATAAAGAAATGAGTGATATCAAAGTAGTGTCCAGTTTATTAACTAAATAAAGAAATGAGTGATATCAAAGTAGTGTCCAGTTTATTAACTAAATAAAGAAATGAGTAATATCGAAATATTGTCAAGTCTCCTTTGTGAATAAATTATGTCTGACATTGAAACAGGAATCAATCCTGTAACAGAATAACATAAAACTTAATGACATGAAAACAATGATAATTCTCTCTTTGAAGAGGTAACTATACATGAAAAAACAGGAAAACGAGACCCCTAACTTTATTCTGAGTAACTGGATATTTTTTATTTTATTTAGTGACAAATGTCCTAGAGAAGTCAAGAGTATTGTTAATTGATACATCATGAGCTTACAATTCATAGATAAGAACCATTTCATCATCATCTTCAAAAGCATCATGAAGTCTAACTAGTTTAGGATGATGAAGTTGGTTCATAATGTCAATCTCTTTTTTTATAACAGCCTTTTCTGCAGGCTGGGTGACTGGAATGAACTTTGAAGCAAACACATTTCCTGTCTTCCTTTCTCTGCATCGATGAACCACTCCAAAAGCACCACTAAATAATAAGACAGAAAGTCAAATAAAAATATAAACAAGGAAATTCCAAAATAAACAATAACAGTTTGTAAAAAGATATAAAAAATGAAACAAACTAATATTTGTTGCATATGCATATTCTATTAACAATGACAGTATTAGACAAAGCAACAGGTAAACATCACAACAAAGGGTCATATTCTGTTAACATTGACAGTATTAGACAAAGCAACAAGTAAACATCACAATACAGGGTTGTATTTCTGTTAACATTGACAGTATTAGACAAAGCAATAAGTAAACATTAAAATACAGGGTCTATTCTGTTAACACTGACAGTATTAGACAAAGCAACAAGTAAACATTACAGGGTCGAGTTCTTTTAATGTTGACAGTATTAGACAAAGCAACAAGTAAACATTACAGGGTCGGGTTCTTTTAATGTTGGCAGTATTAGACAAAATAACAAGTAAACGTTATAGGGTTGTGTTCTGTTAATGTTGACAGTATTAGATAAAGCAACAAGTAAACATTACAATTGAGGGTCTATTCTGTTAACGTTGACAGTATTAGATAAAGCAACAAGCAAACAACACACCACAAGGTCGTATTCTGTTAACATTGACAGTATTAGACAAAGCAATAAGAAAATAACACAATATAGATTCATATTCCATTAAAATGGACAGTAATAGGTGCAAATTTTGCTTCTGAATCTTTTTACTTAGAAACATGAAATGGTTCAGTTTATTTTGACATATTTCTGTATCTGTAAATATTTAAAAGCATCAGTTTAGTATGGGCAAAATACCTTGTTGGTACTGGATATGACAAATATAGAGTGGTTGATATAACATATTATTCTTTGCTTTAACTCATAAGTTCTTAGAATTACATGTTTCTGTCTGGGTATAAATATTTATAAGCATCAGTCTACTATTACATGTATACGTGTGTTTATATAAACATTTATAAGCATCAGTCTACTATTACATCTATACGTATGTGTATATAAATATTTACAAGCATCTGTCTACTATTACATGTACACATATGTGTATATAAATATTTACAAGCATCAGTCTACTATTACATGTACACATATGTGTATATAAATATTTATAAGCATCTGTCTACTATTATATGTAAACGTATGTGTATATAAATATTTATAAGCATCGGTCTACTATTACATTGAGTAGAAAAAGAACGTTTTACTTACACTCCAATTTCTTCTAAGATATCGTAATAGTCGTAAACACTGACAGTCTTGATGTCCACAGGTTGGGGAACATATTTTTCATATATATCAAACACTACAAAATGGAACATCTGTTTTAGAATGAGTTATATAATCTATTTTTCATAGATATCAAATACTGCAAAATAGAACATCTGTTTTAGAATGTTATAAAACACATTTTTTACAAATATCAAAGAATGCATCAAACTTCTATTTTAAAATGTCTTATATAACATTTCTCAAATGTGTAGAACCATATCAAATACTCATTTTACAACAAAATGTAATGAAAAATCTGTTTCAGAATGTAATATACCATATTTTTCGGTGTATAAGACCCCAAAATTTGATGTCAAAATCT